TTTCCCTACCTTTTTTCTGCCTGGAAGGGAAAGACTGAAGTGAAAGTCTTAGCAACAGATTTTGCATGTGCTATTTTTTTCCTCTTTTTTTCCCTGACCCAGTTCTTTCACACCACGAAAGCAAGAAGACAGAAGGGTAAACTGCTCTGGCTTTTTTTCAGTTCAAGCCTTTTTAGCTGTAAGTTATCCTCTTACAAAAGAGGTGTAATACTAAGCAGTCAGCATTAGAATTGTGATAGTAACATAAGATTCAATAATTTAGAAAGACTTTTGCCTGCTTCTCTCCCATTCAGCCAAAAAGCTAAAAGGTTCTGGAAAGAACTGCTGAGGAGGTTCTTGTGTTTCCAGCCATGAGAGCCACACAAGCAACCTGGAAGAGAGTTCTTGTGCTAGTGTAGCAATGAATAAGTTTACTGATCCTGCAGATTTGCCTGATCCTGCAAACTTTGAGTCCTTAAGGATCGTTTGTTTCACTCAGTTGAAACAACCTTGCAAAAGAAAACTGCACAGCCAGGAAACTAAATTCTGCAGCAAAGTACTGTGTGCCAAAATAATAAAAGTACTCAGCACCTTGCAAAGCTGTGCTCCACACACACAACACTAGTTTTCTTAGCAAGCATTTCTACCAGGGAAGTGTATCTGAAGCATTTTTGTATTCTTAAAATAAAGCTAAAAGGCCTTGCAAAATTACTCAAACTAACTATACATGTATTTCAGTCCCTTTGTTTAACTTAATCAGTTCTGAATATTTCAGATGAAGAAAAGATAAGTATTTAGCATGGTAAACCTGTCAAGTGTAGAAAATTTGGGTTAAGTAAAAGAAGCAACATTTGATCTATTTCAATATTAGCCTCATGCAGACTAGACTTTATCAGGCTTGTGTGTTGTTACACACAAATCCAATACATTGATAGATATTTAGTTTATTATAGATTAAGATATAATGAAAAGTTGAATGTTTCTCCTTCAAGATCATACTCACAGTCATTAAATGAATGAATTAGCAACAAAATTTGAATATAGGTTTTACACTAGCTGCATAAATAGCTTCACAAAATTCTCAGAGAACTTAGACATTACTTTGTTTGAAGACACAACTTTATGTTTGAATATTTCTCATGTTGAAAGCTCATGCCTCTTATTTTCAGATACTTGAAGAGTTTTGGAACATGTCCTTAAAAGGTTTCATCTATGATATTTACTACTCATAACTAATATAATCCATAAGTAATTCTCTTTGTACCAAATGGATCTTATCAAAACTTATTGATTAGAAACTTTAAAATAATAAGTATATGCCAAATCTTTAATAGATTACAAAGTGGGTGACCTATACATTTCAGAAAATGAGTGCTACTAGCCAAAAGGGATAATCTTTTGCTGTTGCTATGCTCTTTTAATGTATTTTATCAAGAATCTGGACTGAAATAAAAGATTTCTAGAAACATTTGCAATGACAAAAGACAGAGATCTCTAAGTAACAAAGACAGCATTTCATGGATTCAGGCTATTTCAGGAGGACCAAATGTACAATCCATTTATTTCTATGTGGCCAAATATAAGAACATACTGCCTATGAATGAGGAATGTAAGCCACAGAATCCAAAAAAGTATTTGGGGATGAAGGATGGCTCAAAGGATCTGGGATATATAAAGGGAGGAACAACAAGTAGAAATAGAGAACAAATGACTTCATTATTTGGCACTGATGTAGTAATTTCTGAAATATGGAGTGCACTTGAGACATCAACACTAAGAAGGCTGAAAAACTGCAGAGGATTCAGAAAAAAGGACTGTGGGAATAATTGAAAGACTTGCAAATACACCATATAGTCAAACCCAAATAATAAAAACTTCTTCATATAATGAACAGATTATATACAATTTGATGGTCATCTGAAAAGTCATACATGGGGAATAGAAATCCCATTGCAAAAGAAAAGATGTAATAAAATCTATCATCTGAAAGCTCATAACACGCAAAGGCAGATCTAAAACATGATATTCCTTACAAGTAATTAGAGCTTCTGAAAAACACTTAGAGCAATTTGCTGGATTCCCTGTTACTGGAATCCACAGATAACACACAGTGGATATTACTTTAAAACAAAACTCTTCACCATAAACTAATTCAGGTAAATCTTATGGTCTCCACATCAGAGAGTAGATTAGATAATCATGTTTGCTACAATTCTCTCATGCATTAGAATCCATTGTAGTCAAACACAAGATAATGACTTTGGACCACATGTATAGTCACAATTTAATCGACCTTGTTATATCCACAAAATTTTATTTTAATGGGTAACAAAAATAATGGACTTGTTTCAGTTTGTTGGTTTTGTTTCATTTTCTTCCTTTCTGAGGTTTAATGAAAGAAAATTCAGATTTTAACATACAGTCTAACATAAAATATGGTCAAGTCATCTGAAGTCCCAGAACAGCAAAGGTGAGAGCAAAGATCAAATACAGATAATTGGAACTGAATAATATCCTGCAAGTATCATATTTAGCCTTAGAGATGAGAAAGACTTTACACACTTTGCTAAAACGAAGTGGCATAAAGAAAGATCCAGGGGCTTTGTTTAATCATTTTGGGTTAGCAATAAAAACTTCAACATCTTTTCTTCTCTTTTCTTCTTTCTTAGCGATTAAAAAACAATCTTAAGAAAATAAGATGCATATACTTACTCTGGAAGTCGAGACAGGATACCTAAGGAAAGAGAACTTATGCCATCATTGATCCGACCTGACAGCTTGCGCTTCTGAATCCAGCTGATAGCAAACTCCAGTCCAATAAAAGTAATGAAGAAAGGAATACTCTGAAAATAAGGTTGAAGAAAAGACATCACAAAACAAATTAAATTAGATACACCATTCTTAGCAGCAGTTTATGCAGCCAGATGCTTCTCGGATCTTACTAGCTACTAGTCATGGACCTTGCAAATCAGAACCAAGGCTACCATTTAATCTGTAATACCAGCATAAATCCAGTGCAGTAAACTCTTCCCACATTATTTCATATTATATATTCTGCACATAAATTATTAAAAGACATCAAAACAAAACCCAAAGTCTTTCCAAACTCATATTTCTCATATTCAAGTAAATCAGTGAGAGTACACACATTTGTGGACTTCTCTAACCACATAGTAGAACAGAATCTGCTTTTGATTTCATATGCAAGAGATTTTTGAATGTGTTCAGCCACTGAATTTGGCACCCAACATTATTATCTGAAAACCATAATAAAGTGAGTTTCTTTCTCCTCAGCATTTCTGTTGCCATGCTTTTCACTGAAGAGAGAAACAGCTCTTCTGTATGCATTTTCATCAGAGAACCCAGTAACTATGCAGCCCAGTCCAATTTGGGCCATACAACATGTTCTCTTTCCAGATCAAGTAGTAACGATATAGTGTACACCTTTTTCTTTTGGACTGTACTGGCTGTAAAATAATTATCTGTTTTTCTGAAACAAAGTATAATGATGAGCGAGACACAAACATTTCTCACTCACAACACTGCTTCAGTCTAGGATCAATTCTGACTGTCCATCTTTCACACCAGATCAACTGGCAAGTTGAAAACGCACAACAGCAGGACCCATAGAGAAAGGTATCGCTGTCACCAGTGGTAGGACTGGTAACAGTTCAGTGGCAGCACCATTTTTCATCAGCAGAGAAAGATTGTTAGATGTGTTCTCGAAGTTTCATCAGTATAGGCAACAAAAAAGCACCTTGAGTAACAGTAAATGTTACAGCACATACTTTTTTACTGACACTGGAGTCCTTACAGTCCCTGTACTTCATGTGTGAAAGGAATGATAAGACAGTGGCAGCATATTAGCCACCACCACCAAAATCTAGAAGGCCTAAGGCAAGGCAAACAGGAAGGAGTAGCCAGATCTCTGTGCATGCAATTGTTCCTTCAACTGCCTCCCTTACTCAGTATAAAACTTTTAGGTGACCTTTGAGACATTCAGACAACTGCTTTTTGGTTATATTAAGGCATAATGTTTCCATCATATTTCGCAGGGGAAGAGAAATAGAAGATCAGTGAGATGTTCCACACCATTATGGGAGGCACCACACTGCCAAACTTGCCCTGTTAGTCTTCTGCTGCTGCAGCCCCCTTCAAATGACCTGCAAACACATATAGTTTCACTGACTGAAATGCTCCAAACTGCACTGCTGTAGAAGAGAGGCTGCTCCTGCCTATACAACATTTTAATGGAAGAAGCATGTTGCCTCTGCAAATGTCATTGCATTTTGGAGGGTGCTCATTTTTGCTGCCAAGTGAGATATGATCAGGGAATTCCTACCAGGCTGGGACACTAAAGAGACTAAGATGGATATAGACCAGATTGCTCAGCTGAAGAAGAATTGGATGATTCAAACCATGCAAGCAGCAAGAGATTTATAGCGTCTAGGAAATGTGAAAGTTCATAAACTTCAGCAGCTCAGGGTTAGGTTACAATAACAGATGAACAGAGATTAATATCAACGTGGCACTTTTTAATTTAGGTGCCTAGCTTGCTCTGTAACAGCATTTTAGGCATCTAAAAGCCTGTTTGTGATAGTTACTAACTGATGATATAAAAAACTCAGAAAGCAAAGGAAGACCTATGCATAAAGCCTAAACAGCACCCAAGAGAACCAGTATGGTAAATTTTTCAATATTTTAAATCACTAATAAAGAAAGAAAGAAGAACCAAATCCCTTAACCTTCCATTTTAAATCAATGAAAGATTCTAGGAAAATACAAATACTCCTCATTTTGCTCTATCTAGATGCTTTTTTTCCAAGTAGAAAAGACTTTTAATGTACTTTTCATAAATTATATAATCAAGGAACAGGTTCCTAACTTATCACACAAAGGCTGATGACCACAGCTGTACATTCCAGCAGGGAAAAAAGAGTTTTAATCAGAAAAGCTAAGAAACACTTGAATTCAATATTAGGAGCCAGGTCTAGCACAGACTACAAGCAGTTGGAAGATAGAGAATGGCAGAAGCCGCATAGCAAACTGAATAGGTTCAGGACAGAAAAAGTGGGATGCTTTACTCATGAAATGAATATAGTTAATAGGAACTGTACAATGTCTGTATTCAATGTGACAATTCACTTTACCTAGCAACCTCTAAAACAGTTACAATACTTGACTTTATACTAATACACACTATTATAACTTCTTTCTCATTGACTTCATTAAATACTTTCTTCCCACTGTGAAGCTGTGAGACAGCCAAGCATTTGACAGCACTTTTTGACTCACAAATAGGGAGTGTGATAGCAAGGAGGACCAAGGAACATTCAGATAGCCTTAACCTCCTGACCATCAAGGAGCTTGCAAAAGAAAAGATTTATGACATAGCTGTCATAAAATTTACTGTCTAAGAAATTACTCCTTCTCTCCCACACACCTATATTAAGCTTTGTCCAAAGCAGATCAAAGGGATCAACTATGTCAAGGGTACCATGTATTATTTATGTGACCATAACAGCTATTGTCATGGAGCAGGATCGTACCATGTTAGCTGCAGTACAAACAGAATTAAAACGCGCTGCCTATGCCAAACAGCCTACAGTCTATGGATGAGATACAGCAGAAGAATAATGTAAATAATTCAGGAAAGGAGACAGTAAGAGAGAAAACAGTCCCACCAGCCTAATCACTACATTTTAAATTTTGTTTAAAGTTAAAATGACAGTGAAGACGTTTAAGGAACCTGTTGAGGATGGGTAGCTCTGCAACAGTTTTCAAGGGTTGCCCCTACAAACAAAATGGCACAAAGTTAAGAAAGAGCCACTGTTGGCATTACAGGTCAGAGACAGAAGCCAGATCCTTTCGATATCTTCTGGTCTATGAATGTTTTACTTTCTCTCTGTTTCTGGTTTCTTGCTCTTCACCCATCACCAGAAATATGTGATGGAGATTTACGTTAGCTTGTGGTTTACTTGAATAACTGATCCATAACTTGAAAGCTTTACTCTGAGCACTGACTCAGAGGGGTTCCATCACAAGTAACCAGCTCTACAGAATGCAAAGGACCATTTAAAATCAGTTTCTGCTTTATACTGTTGCAAAAAATAATATTCTAAGCTGAAACTCGGCATAAATTCATAGTTTTATTGCAATTCTTAAAACAGTTTGTTTCCTTAAAGTCCCAGATTCTTATAAGAATCTCAGCTTTCAAGTAAAACTAAATATGAAGGTTCTGTGCCTCATTATTTAGAAGCAAACCATAAAATGTGAATAGAGTGTAAATGTGAACTTAATCTTTAGGCTTTCAGAAGAGAGTAAATAGAAAAGAAAAACAGTGACTATTAAACTTAAAGCTTTCATTTTGGGGTTCTCTTCCAAAGCCTGACTCATTGAAGTCTTTACTGAGCACAGGTGATAATTTCAGACTGTAGCAAGGTGTAAAGTGAATTTACAGTTCATGAAAACTATATTTGTCAAACAAAAAGCAGTATTACATCTGCCCATGTGAATATTATGAGAGAATGAAAAAAAGCCAAAACAAACAAACAAACAATCCACAACCAACACAGCATGCAGAGCTTATTCTTATACCCATAGCAAAGAAGATGCTTTTGAAAGGAAAGGGCAAGTATCAGTATAGATTTAAAAGTCAGGATATTCTACCCTGGAGAAAGAAACTGACTTATACTTTCTATTCCCAGAAATAAGGGAAAATCAGGGGCTTTAAATACTACATGACAAAAATTAATGTAAAAATAAGTTCTATGATGATTATCCAGGATTCAGACTCCTTTTCCCAGAATTTTGACGATTAGTTGAAAGAGTGACTTTCCCTGGGCACTGCTGCAGAGCTTTGCTATTTGGCACTGGTTGCAACTGATCAGCTCATGTTTTAAACAGGACTTCAGGCCTTCACAACAGACAGAGCACAATGCAGAGACCACAACCCGTCCGGCCTCTGAAAATGGAAGCACTATAACCGCAGCCAACAAGTACACTGCACAGGTTAACTAAGAAAGACCAAAGAAGCCACTAACCAAAGAAGCCACTCCTATGAAGTGCATATATTTTGCAAACCACCTACATGCGCAGTTTTGCAGATAACTAAGCCCATGCATATTTGAGTGAATTAGGAGATTCTGCCACATGCCTAATGTTGGAAGGTGCATATCCCCAGAGCTTTAGCCACGTAGCCATGTGTTCTAATGTACTAGAAACACTCCCATCTGTCTGATACACATGATTGATCACAGATTTGTGATGTAAATCCCAGTTCTATACAGTGTCTCAGGGGGAAAAAACTCAGAAGAACCAAAATGCACACTGTTTAGGAGACACTAATGTCATCAGAGATTTGTTTCACACACATATCATAATTTTTGTCTTTTAGACTGAATTATTTGAGCTGAGGCCTTCATTTATTACCAATTCTACACTAGAATGTATTGGTTTTTGTTCTGTGTTGGGCTGAGTTCAGACTTTCACTTCTGTATCTGTACCAACTCTAGAGGTTACTACTCCAAGTCCTCCTTGAATGGCTCATCAGGTCACTATTAAATCTATTCCTCATTAATCCAATGAATATGCAATAGGCTGCTCTTGCAATTGTTCCCTAAACAGTCCTAACATTGTTCCCAAAAGCAGCTGGCAGGGGACTGTAGGTAGTTACCTTCTGCCCACAAACATGACCAGAAGAGGAAGGACAAAAATTGCCTAAGCTCAGACCACAGCTATAGAGTTAAAACAGTTATACCACTAAAACACTTTTATACAGCCACCTAACCAAGCATCAAAGAATCTGTTCTGGCAATAAATGCACTGGCAGAAGGAAAATCTAGTACAGCTAACCCAAGATATGAATTATAGGAAAGTATAACTGTAATGGGAAAACATTTTTAGTGTAGTTTTTTGTGAGACATATTCCTTTACAAACTTATCGTAACAGTGTCCCACAACAGCAGAAATCTGAAGGCACTTTTATAAATTCAAGGAAGCATTAAAATTCCTTCTGCAAACTTACAGCTGTGTGCCCAGTAAAAGAAATGTGAGGTTTGGCCAAGGTCTGAGCTGAATGCTGCACAGGTCTGCATGGGAGAAGAAAGCTGAGGAATGCTAAAGAATGCTGCTGACAAGGAAGTGAATGATACTCTGTTGGAAATGTGCAAACAGTAAAAGGGACTGATATAGTCAATAGATAGAGCTGGAGGGAGAGATCAGCTGACTAGGCAAAACCGTCAAGTCCTAAACAATCTTCTTTGATCATGACATTATAGCTGAGCTGCAAAACACCTCTGAGAACAGCAGTCCATCGACCAGACCCTGCATACTCAGGCTGTGCTTGCAGCAGCTGTCTGCTTGCCCTATCCAAAAGGGCAACCTTTGCTGATAACATCCGTATGTAGCAAGGGGCTGCTGCATACTACAATTCCCAGAAAGCTGCTGACCAGGCTGTACTGCTCTGCACAACTCATGACATCCCCACTGCAGCCTGACAACCACTGCTGCACAGCAGTCCAAGGCATACCTGGCAGAGGAGCTAGTCAGAACTCCCAAGACCTGTGTAAAAAGTGCAGATCTTCAGTGAAGCTGGGCTAAATTTACTTTGACAAGGGCAAAACAGCGTTTATCTGCTGTCTCTG